GCACGCGCACTAAGAGCAGGCAGCTAAGATAATTGCAAAGCACGAGAAGCACAGTTCTTACTGTGCTGCACGCCTGGCAGGGCACTGAACCTGCAGCAGGGCTGCTCCAAAGGCCGTGCCCCCATCACACAGACACTGCACAGTGCAGCAGTCCTCGTGCAACCTCTCACTGCTGGCAGCATCAATGGGCACAGCATCAAGTCCCCCAGCACGCTGTCTGGGAGCCGTTGGCTTTATTACCCTCTGGAGATCATTAACTCCGTACCCAGAATTTCCAGGCATGCAGACAGCGAGGATGATAAATGTCTGCTTTCTCCAAATGAGAACTGAATTCACTTTTCAGACTTCTCACGTGTGTGCTCACAAGTGGGACCAAGCGGCCGTCCTGCGCACAGCTGCTGCATGCAAACTCCAGGCAAACCCAGCTACCATTGTGCTGCGTGTCAGGAGAAGAAATATATACATATATCCTAACCAGGGACTTCCCAGAGTCAGCAGACCCTGAAGGGATCATTGATCAGGATACTCTGGGGATGCTGCCAACTTGGCAAGAAACCCAAAGCTGGGCAGAAGCGAGACCCACACATCCCACGTCTGTACTGAAAACTCATGGCCCGCTTCCTCCAGGAAGGAACAATGCATTTGTTTGTGGGATGTGAAGGTTTCTGTATTTCACTGATCCTGTGATTTAGGTGGCCAGGATACAACTCCCCTTTTCCAACAGATATGTGGGTAACAGAAGGGAAAGCACAGACTCTGAGTTGCTGCCATCCGGGACCTCCCCATCTGCACACACTGACAGAGAGCGCTGGGCAGAGGCTGAAGCTGGCAGCCCAAAGCTGTTGGCATCCAGGTGGGGTGGGACTTCTCATTCAGACAGCAGTGATTTATGAGAATTGCACAGAAGAACCTTTTCCTGTAAAGGGGTGGCAGAACTGGTTCTGCAGACACTCCTCACACTCACTTGCTGATGGAAAGCAAGGTATTTATAGAGAGCAGGAGAGTTCAGGTGAAGTCACCGGCCAATTACTTGCATGCCAGCTGAACACCATCATTGTTGTGTAAGCAGCACACAGCCTCGTTAAGTTGGGTTCCCGTTAATTGTCTCACCTGCAGAACCACCCCCTGCTCCTGCAGTGCCAACGCAGCGGCTGAGGGGCGGTGATGTGCCCCACTTCCAGGGATCTTGGATCCCCACTTCCAGGGATCCTCGTCTGGTTCTCAAGGAGCAATTGTGGATGTAATTTGCTGAAACAATCACAAAGGCTGAAGAGAAGGACCTGAACACCTCGTTGGTGCTTTAATGGTACATTGTTGGCCCCAGGTGGGGAGGAGCCCAGCTTTCCCTGCAGGCTTCCGTGGCAGAGCCAGCACTGAGGGCATTAAGGAGAACAGATGTACATCTTCCCCATGTGGGGCAAGTGCAGCATGATCCATGTCAGAGTGTAACTCACACTGTGCACAACTACACCCTAAAGCACTTTGGCATTGCTCTGGCCTTTGGCACACAGTAATTTCTCCATCCTGCCTCATAGCAGCTATATTGATAAGACTTGGTCATCTTAAAAAAATAATATACATACAGTAGATTGTTTTCAGCTCTTGCAGCCGAGTTTGGCAGGATGGGGCTGTGCTTGGCAGGCATCCCCAGCTGCTGGGGAGCGATAAGCACGGCTGCCATGGCAGCTCCTTCCCCACAGCAGCTCCAGATGAGACAGGAAGGGTGGGACGGCGTGAGCCCCGGGTGTGTGACAAACAGGAGGCTGAGGCTGTGGTGATGCTGAAGAGGCACTGAAGGAAATGAAGCCCCATAGAGCTCATGGGCACAGCGATGAGTGGAACGGCTGTGGTTCTCACGTTTTTGTGTCTCTCTCCAGCTGTGCTGCAGCCCATGCAGAAGCTCTGTGCATTTCACCACTGAGCTGAACTCGAGCCCCATAAACACAGTGGTTTCTGTGCTGGAATACCGGGAGATGTGACACAGCCTGAAGCTGCTGTTGGGGCTGAGTTTGGCTTTGAGAACAAGGAACGGGTAGGAACAGAGCAGAGCTGTGCCAGGCTTCCTGCACAGGGCTGGCAGGGGGAGGTTTGGGTCCCAGGGAAGGCAGGCACAGTGAGCTGGCAGCAACTCAGTGCCCCATGCCTGCCAAACAGCACAGGCACTGTGTGCAGCAGCTGCTGGGATCGACTGGGAGCAGAGGAACACTCTTGAGAAGCACCGACAGCCACAAACTGCACTTCCAGTGTGTGAGAGAAAAGGAGGTGAGAAGGGAAAGGAGCCCAGTAGAGAAACAAAGCAAAGTGAAAGCAAAGCTCTGCCCTGGCTGTGCTCTGAGGATGCCTTCATCTGTCAGAGCATCCTCCAGCCTCTGAGTCTCAGCCATCAGCCCCTACACCACAGAGAACACACACTGCCTGAGAACAACGCAGCTGCAGCTCTCCTGCCCCCTGCACGGGCAATTTCCACCTGCAGAGAGCTCGGAATAGGGCGAGACGAGCTCTGTGCGTGCTCTGACACTGCTTCGCTTGCGGGTAGACCCCTTTCCACCCGGGGAAGGAAGGAGAGCAGCAGCAGCAGCACGCAGCTCCCGAGCATCGCAGTGCTGGCGCACCCGGCCCACAGCGGCACCGCTCCGTTCCTGGGGCCGCCGCCGCCGCCGCTGGGTACCACCGCCCTCTGCAGTCCCCGGGGAAAGGCGCAGCTCCGCCGCTCTCGTCAGCCCCCGCCTCCATCGCAGCGGGCTGCTTCGAGCTCCCTTTGATGTCAGTGAAGGCTGAGCCGATTTTGCAAGCCGTCCTTCCGGCCCCGTGCGCAGGGCGGGGGAGCGAGGCGATGCTCCGGGCACTGGGAGCTGATGCCCGTTGTGCTGCTGGACAAATGAACGTTGCTGCTTTGAAAGCTTTTCTTAGTAAAGGAAGCCGTACATACAAAATTACGTAATTTCCCGTTTGATGCTATAAGCGGAAACGGGGAGTTTTGTTTCAGGTTTGTGTTATCACAAATGCTGGAGCAGTTGCTGTGCAGCAGCACATTAATCACAAGAGCAGAGCGCTCTGCGGCTTTGCAAAGCACAAAGCAGGAGATGAGCCAAGGGCTCTGGCAGCTGGAGCTGCTTCTGACTCAGCTCAGAGAGCGAGGGAGCTCCAGCCTGCATCCCCAGCCCCGCCAGGCTCTCTGCGAGCTCTGACGACACAGAAAATCACAGTTAGGAGAGCCTTGAAGGCTCGATCCAAGAGGAGGGCAGGTTTCGGGGAGAGCTGGAGCTCAGAGCTCACATATCCACGTTTGGCTGCCACCTGCTCCTGGCACCACGTGATTTCCAGAACCCGACAAGCTGAGCCGAATTCATCCAGCTTTCAGTTTTGAGAAAGCTGGTGCAGTTTTCCCAGCTGATGAATTTGCAGCCTTATCTCCAGAGCTTCAACGGGGCCAAGGAGCAGCGCTTTGGTGCAGGGCCACGAGAGCTCAGCTGCAAACCCTCACACCAAGGCCACCAGCTCAGCTCTGGGCACCAAAATCCCCAACGTCATGCAACTGCAAGACACCATAAACATGTCTCTATTGCACCTTATTGTCTTTCCTGCATGAGGTGAGCAGCACACACTGCTGTTTTGCCTCTCGGCCCCACAGCCAGCATTCCCCAAGTGCTCTGAGGACAGAATGGATCATTCTATCAGCTCCTCTAAGGCATTCGTCACCAGAAAACACTCATAGTGCGGCTCCAGAGCTTGCTTCACAGCCTTGTTTCTTGAGCTGAGGGCAAAGAGTTGAGAAAATACCACTGCCTTATTTGTGCCCAACCTCATTTTCACCTCATTTTCAGCTGGAGTCCACAAGCTCTTTGTCCAAACCTCATCTCTGCAAGCTCTACTGCGAGCATTCTGTGCATCTGAAGAGCATCTCTGGTAGCCCTGATGGCACTGAGCCCCCTGTCCCATTGCCTGGGTTCTGTGTGATGGCTGTTTGCTGAATGGGGCTTTTATTCCCCAGAAGGAGAGCTGGCAGAGGCACAGCTGGATTTCAGCTGCCGAGGGTAAAGGTGCAGTGTGGGGCTTTCAGCTCTGGCACCTCTGCCTCTGGTAAACCTGATGCCTTGGGCTCCTCTCAGTCCCCCCATTGGCAGCTTTGTCTCCCTGACACCCAGGGATGCATTGGGCCCTGAGATTGCAGCCCACCTCTGGTTTTAAGGAGAGGACCACAGAAAAAGAGAAGGAACTCCTGGCCACCTCAACCTTAAAGCTTTTGTGCTGAGCTCCTGATCCGGCCTCAGCCTGCCTCATGTCCTTAGCACAGCCCTCCCTGCTCACACAGCTTCACTGCTCTCTTCTAACCAAATCTATTTCTCCTCTTTCTCAGGCTCCTGACCGTCTCCTATTCTTCCTGCTCTGCCACCACCACCAGCGTTTACCAGAGCTGCAATTCACACTCGATGCGACATAGAACAAAGGAAAAATAAAGTTTTGGTTAATTACAATCTGCATAAATCAGTTAATATTCAGGGACTTCGCAGGACCAGTTCTGCCTTCCCAAATGCTGATCCCATCAGCACAGCGTCTGCCTGTGATGCAGCGGTGCCTCCCTGCCTCTCTTGGCTGCATCAAAAAGCAGCCATAAGAGCAATCCGAGGTAAAGGCAAGCAGCCGGGATGCAAAACAAAAGCAAAAACAAAAACAAAACCGCAACAGCTCAGATAACTGAATTGGAAGGGCAGAAAGGGGAAAAAAAGGGAGAAAGGAGTCCTTCGGTGCAGTTATGCGGGGTACCCGATGCGGGTGGGTTAGACCCGATCCCAAAGAAGCTGTTATTTCCCCTTCAACCCGCACCTGCCCACGGCGGACGGCGCAGCAGCAGCGCTCGGTCGGACCGCAAACCGCACCGGCTGCTGGAGCGGCCGCTCGGGGCACCCCGTCCCGGTACCGGGGCTCCGTCCGATCCCCCCTCCACGCACCCCCGGTCGGGGCAGCCCCCGCCCCGCTCCCCCATCCCTTTCCCAGCTTACCTTCCCCTCGCTGCGGGCTGCGTGTGCCGCCTGCCCCGGTCCCGCTGCGGGGACATCGCCCGCTCTCTCCCTTTCGCTTTCTCTTTCCCTCTCCGCTGCGGAGGAGGAGCGCCCCGGCCCCACCCGCACCGAGCTGCGGGGAGAGTTCGGCCCCCGACCCACGGAGGAGCCCGAAGGCGCTGCTCACGGCGAGTGGAAGCGATGGAGGGAAGAGGCGGCGGCGCTGGAGGTTAAAGAGCTCGCGTTAGAGGTGCGAGCGGGGCAGAGAAACTCCCCGTACAGCTGTAGCCACTCATCTCCACAACCCCCAGTGGCTCTGAAGAAAGCTGTTTGCTTTTGGCCCCCTCGGAAACATTTATTTCTACAAACAGAAGTGAAGAAATGAGGCGGCAGCCCAGAGCAGAGGCAGCAGGGATTTTATCTTCTTAAATAATTGGCTTTTTCCTCGTTTGCTTTTATGGTTTTTGTTTGAGATGGAGCAGAAGGCACGGGGCAGGGCTCAGTGCTGCAGCAGCTGAGGATGAACAGTGACTGCACGGCTGCTACAAGCAGGCACAGCCCAGGGCTGCGCACACAGGGGCGGGCAGAACCGCTGCTGTTCGGATGCACAAAACAACCCCCAACTGAAAACGATCCGATACACAAACAGCACCGGGCTGTTAAACGATGAAACTCCACCAACGTCCAACAGAAAGGTGCCCCTTTGAGCAAGGATTGAACCACCTGGAAGCTATTCAATTAAAGGAAGAGGGCTGGCACTCGGTCAAGATACAACCTAGTTCTTCTCCAAGGTTTCATAGGGCTCCAGAATCAAGATCCACATTCTACAGGGACCACGTGAAACAAGTTGTTACTCAATAGCAGTTCTACACCCTGCTTTGTCTCCAGCCCTCATTGAGGATTACAAGCAGCCCAGCAGCCCCAGGTGCCCCGTTATCTCACCTCACTGCTTGCCCACTGTCACACTGAACTTGTGGTTGGGAGGAAATAAAGTAGGAGAGGAAGGGTGGCTCAGGTTTTTGAAGCCCATTTGTGGAGCTACAGACAGCAGTGACAGACAGTGATAAGCTACAAGGAAACCTCCCCCCCCTTTAGCTTAGAACACATCAACAAAAAGAAATCAACCACCATAAAGTCTACAGGACTAAAGAGAAGCACCTCTGGTGTTTGTGTAACAAAAGATGATGCAACAAAGTAAAAGAACGCTTCATGTGAATGCGAATCCCAGATATGATTTTATTCAGAATTTTACAAACAATGAGCATTTTTCTATAAAACAAAACCAAACCAAAAACAACGGCAGAGGGTAGGAATCAATTCAGTTAAGAGTATTTACATTCTCAGAAGAAGTTTCCATACGTTTCTATATACAAGGCTGTGGCCATTACCAGCAGGTCGAAGCACCCCAAAGGCACGTATGAGCATCATGTTATGCTGCCTAAGCTGATTCTGTGCTTTAAGCAAAGGCTTTACAAGTTAAGGTCCTATTCTACAAATACTGCAACACGAATGTAATCACAGACACAGTCCCAACCATTTCCTCAGGTGCTTGTTGTGCTCACGGTCCCCAGGGAGATAAATGAACCCATGGGTGAGGCCATGAAACACAAGCAGCTGTAAACAGAGGTGGGGATAACTCATCTCAAGTTCCAGCAAGACAGTATCATCATCTCTCCAAAGGAAAGTCCCCTGGAAGAACAACACTTTCACAACATACTTAAGTGCATAGAGAAAATTAATGCTGAAGTGATGCTTCTCGTCAGCCCGGCTCATCCCAAGCTGCCTGCTCGAGGAACCATTAGAAGATGTTCTTGAGAGCACAATATCCAGAGCCAGGAGAGTGGTATCAGAGAATGACACACTGCTGAGTGTGAACATCAGCCTGAGGAAACCGTGACGCTTTTTGAGCTAACGATATTCCCAGTGCAAGCAAAGAAACCAAAGTCACGGGGCTGTGCATCTTCCCCAGGGAGATGAAAGGAATCAAAGAGCTGGGAATGAAGGGAACCCAGTTTCCAAGCCAAGGCCTTAATGCTGTTTTCCTCACCAGAGATCCTGCAGTGTGCAGCAATGTTCCCTGACCAGAGATCTCAGTGGTTGTAATGCACGATAAGGGCATCACAGCCCTCCTGCATTTCACAGGTTACAGCTCACCTGAAAGCCAAACTCTGTATTACCCTCCTGAGCAGTGACCACGCTCCTGGTTTTACCTCCTTCATAGGCAAATTCTGCCCAACCCCTCACAAAGCATCACTCCTCACTTTTTTGAGGATAACAGGACAGCTCTCAGCGAAACAAGGCCTTCCACCAGGGGCAGCAGGACAGATTCTGCACTACTGAGCAGCACCTTCATGAACCAGGCACAATGTGACCCTAGCACTGAACTCCCCCATTTGACACAGAAGGCACCCACAGCCCGTTTGCTGCAGATCTCACCTGCTGCCAGCACTGCCATCGCCCTTACAGCTGGGTCAGAGCCTCCACCCTCATATCCTGCTTGCCCGGATCAAAACCCTGCCTGCTGATGTTACTAAAACATCCCCTGGGGTTCTTTTGGAAATATTTAGCAGCTGGATTCTGACTTCACATCAAAACACGTTCCCTGTTGCACAGATAAGCCCAAGGATTAGGGCAGGAGAGGAAAGTAAACAAAGGAACACAGGATGCCATATTAGATAGATTGCTTCTGACTCGCTTTTAGATTTTAAGGAGATTAGCAAGGAAGAAAATATAACTTGTGACACAGAGGTTGTTGCTGTAGTAGGATTAGTCACGACCAGGAAATTCCCCCAATTTAATCATATTAAAAATCCCAAACAAGCACTTAATAAACATTAGAATCAAGAACAAAAGCCTGCTGTCGAGGCACAGGAAGGTGCAGAACCTGTGTGAAATAGCAGATGAAAGATAACAGCTAAACGAGACATTGGATGAGCTGCAGCAGGAATTTCCACGACACATCACGTATCTCACATCTCAGGCTATCTTCTCAAACAGTTTACAGGAAAAGATTCATGGGGCAGGCCTGTTTACATTGGCAAATTCATGACGAGGAAGTTGCAGCTGAATGTTTTGCCTCAAATTCCTGTGGCGAGGCTTCTTCTGCAGCACAAAAAAGCTGCTTCTCAATGTTCCAGTTCCTATAAGCCTAATAGAGACGTGGCATGCAGAGAAAATGATCTGTGCTGACTTTTAGAGCATATTCTTACAATTGCAATGAGTATTCTGCAAAAGGTGGGGTACACAACAAAAAGAATCACGGATGTGGGGTGAGGACATGTTCCCATCACCACACAGCAGCCTGCCTGCTTCCATGCACTTTCCTGACGTTTACTTGCACACATCAAGGCTACCACACAATGTGCAGTGAAGCTTGCAAAATTCAGATCCTCAACTTATGCTCCACTTTTTCAAAGCACACGGTGCATTTTAAACCCACCAGCCAATGGCCTTCTCTCAACCAGAAGTGACGTGGAACCTGCCAAAGCTTTGGGATTTCTCTTCCCAGAGGAGCTGACAGTGACAGCAGTGAGTTTCCCCATGTCATCTGGGCCTGCTACCATCAGCCAGACAGAGCACCGAGCACAAAGGTGAGAAGAAGCAGGGAAAGCAGTGAAACCCTCCAGCTTAAGCAAGCATGGCTGGCGAGCACAGGGTACAGGGCTTTGGTTAACAAAAGCCTCGGAGCAGCTGATGTTGGCACAGAGCTGCACAACACTCCAGAGCCAGCAGCCAGCAAGGCCCCAGCAGCCCTGAGCAGAGCAACTGGGGTTCTGCTCATTCAGCCTCTGCAAGACAGGACAACAGACAAACAAGTGCCACAGGATGAATGCTTTCACCAGGCACATCTGTAATGCAGTAAGAATGGCACAAAGGAGATCATGTGTATGCACACCTTTAAACAGACACAGGCGATGCCAAGGGTGCTGCTGTGATCCAAGGAACAGTCAGCAGATTTTCAACATGATTTAAAAAAAAATAATAATAATAATCCTAACACAACTCACATGAACAATTAACAGGAGTGAAGGGAAACAAGAGACCTCGCAGCAGGCCAACAGTTGGCAGCCAAGAATCGAAATCCAGTGGTCATAAGAGCACTGTAAGTGTTGATCTTGGGAATTCTCACCACGAGGTCAAGGCAGTGGCATGGATTATTGATAGTATGTGTGTGTGTGTGTGTGTGTGTGTGTGTGTGTGTGTGTGTGTGTGCAGAAAGGTCAGAAACTAAGACAGCAGAACTGCTTTTTGCCAACCGCATCGCACAGACTATGATTTGAAAACCCAAACAATTCAGAAAGACAATTTTCAGCAGTCACCAAAATTTTCAGCAGTCACCAAAATTTTCAG